CATCCCCTTTTTATGGGATTGATTAGGAGAGAGAAATGAAAATATGCTTATAATAACCCATTTAATTCCTTAATTTGCGCACTGTACGTTTTTAATAGAGAGAGAAATAAAAACATGTATTGTAATTCACACAACTGTCCCAGTGAGTATATGTTGCGTTTATGTGAGTATATATTCAGTATATGTTGCAATGAAAAACATGTCTTTCATAATTTTTTTTTTTTTTTACTTTTATACATAAAAGTATATATAAAGTTTATAAACATATTATAACAGGTTACTTATATTTTCAAAAAAAAAATCTTCTAATATACAAACATATGTAAAACATATACTCCATCTTCTGTTATGTATCATTTTGTTCGGGTATATTAAAGGTATATGTTTTTTATATTTTGTGGATGGAGTCGCCTATGATGATTTTCATTCATTATATATGATGAAATGGACTATATATAAACTATACATATACACAACAAAAGAAATTCGATTTATTCTTATTTTAAATTAGTTTTTGAATATTTTATAGTATATGTTGTGTTTGCGTATTTTTTTTCGTAAAAATTGCAGATACAACGAAGTATATGTTGAGTTTAAAAGTCAATATAAATTTTCATGTCTTGAATGGAAAGTATATATTGAGTACATAGCTAGTATATGTTACAATATTCAGTAAAATGATTGTTTATAGTTCTATTTTTTTTTCTAGTCCGTACACCCATGACTCATTATGAAGATCGAGATGGCTAATTGATGTTTACCATTTAACAATCACAGAGAACAATTTCATTTGGCTTCTTTTCTTTCATTCTCATATCTATTTCTTCACCCACCGCTTCAGTTCTCCATTTTATTCACCTTCTACTGCGCAATACGCTGGCTGCTACCAGACGAGCGGACGAGCGACTGCTACCAGACGCCGGCTGAACACGACGGCTACGGTAGACGGATCGGCTTGGATCTGCTGGGTGTGGGACTCGTCAGTGCAATACGCCGCCACGAGAATGGTCGAACTTCGTGGACTGAGCCGCGAGGTGCTGCGCAGACCGAACAAGGGCTGAAGAGAAAAACACCGGCGAAGCGCCACTGGTGCGACGGCGACCGAGTAAAGGCAGCGTTGGGGAGGAATTTTTTGCTCGAATTTCTCTGATGTGGGCGAGATTTCAAACGAAGAAGAAAGGGTTCTGAACCCTGACGACGCGAGAGAGCAAAATATTGGGCGAAAATTCTGATGAGCGGTTATATATGCTAACACATCATATTAAGTATATTTGTAATATTATTGTGTTTGTTTAGCTATTTTATAAATAAAAATGAAAGGGATTTATAAGTGTAATATAAATGAAATATGAAGGGATGGGGTGTAAATTCCTCTTTTAAATGTGTAACAAGATAAAACCATTAAACTCTTCAATTCGTGTTATAGATTGTAATAACCTGGCATGCGCAATGGGACAAAAATAATTCCTAATTATTTAATTTCACCAGTTCCATATACCATAAGTTGAATAGACTAATAATGTTAACTAGTACAATACCCGTGTATTACACTAATAATGTTAATTAGTACAATACCCGTGTATTACACGGGGGTTGAATTAGAAAGCTTTTCTAAAAAATATTAAATTTTTTATTTTTATAAAAACTAAAATAATTTAATTTTATATGAAACATTACTTTGTGTTTTAATTAAATTGTCAAATTATAGTTTTTTAATTATAATAATTAAACACATTAAATGAAAATATCAACCCGTGTTGAAATTTTTTTACTTATATCATATAAAAATATCGATATTATTTACTATTATATAAGTACAAAAATACATATCTTAAATAAATAGAAATATTATGGTGATATGTATATGCATAAGTGTTGAATATGTTTATTTAAAATTAAGCAAAATAGATTAATTTTTTTTACTTAATTAGATGCCTAATACATCAAGTGTCGTATCAGTCGTGCTTCACAGTTTTTTAACTTTATATGTAATATTAGAATTTATATAATAATTATTTATTTTTATTACATTGACAACATATCATTTAAATTTGAAATAAATATATTTAAACGAATACATACCAATTTCTATTACTTTATAATATAATTTATAGTTTTATTTGATATAATTTAATTTAGTTTGATAAATAAATTTAATATATATATATATATATATATATATATATATATAGTAAAATACAAACGAACTTCATAATATCAATTCAAATACAACACACTATTTAAGATTTTTTTTCTTGACAATATTAACCCTATTTAATGGATGTTATGAGAAATGATGAAAATGAGATATGAAGAGACACAGTGTATTAGATGGAGGGTTAAAAATAGAAAAATATGAACAAAATATCTAAAACGACATTTATTTTTCAATGATCAATTAAGCCAAAATGACAAATAATAAAAATAGGAGGGAATATGTATTATTATATATACAATTAATACAAATATTAATTTATATTCAAGTCTAACTCCAAAGCATAATTTTTTGCCAAATAGGATTCCAAAGCATGAGAGTTTGCCACGTAGGCTCAGCACATTTTGAAATTATGTATAAACGGATGATCAATTAAGCCTGACAAATAATAAAAATAGGAAGGAATATTTATTATTATATATACAATTAATACAAATATTAATTTATATTCAAGTCTAACTCTGAAGCATAATTTTTTGCCAAATAGGATTCCGAAGCATGAGAGTTTGCCACGTAGGCTCAGCACATTTTGAAATTATATATAAACGGAATTGCGAATGATAATCAAATCGAAAATCTTATTCGAGTGGAATAATAAAATTAAATAAATGTTTAATGGAAAATGAGTTCTTTTTCTTTTTTGTGTGTGTTTCTTACATGATGCGCAAAATAATAAATAAATAAATATACTACGCTAAACCCCGACCAACTGAATAAGTGGATTGGCACGTAAGGCTGCAAAAACCACTCAGGTGCTATCTTATCTCCGATATTTTGGAAGAGAGTATATAAATAAGGAAAATACTACAATTTTTTTATAGATCTATTTCGTCGAGATTTTGAACTATTAAATACACATATATATTAGTGTAAAATAGATAATCTACGGTTACAAACCCACTGAAATAGTTCCTTAACTATAAATATAACTACTTAACACAGAAAAAGAAAAACACATCTCTTCGAGTGAAATAATCAAATCATCTCACGCTCAATCCACAATCTTACAACCACTCGTTTATTCTAATAAACGAAATATAAAAATGTGCCCATAAAAATTAAGTTAAAAATTTAAAT